TGTTTTATGTAGGAAAGGAGTTCACAGACACTGATAAATAATATAATAATTAGTTCATTTAATTTACAGTTAACATAAAGCCATTCGCTAAGATAATAGATGTCGGTTATCTAAGAATACTAATACAAATGAGCCTTAGCGCAGATAATAAACATTTGGTTATTGTAAGGCTGTAAGTTTTTTCTTACGTTTTCGTGCTTGAAGAAAACACTGGTTAGTGAATTTCTAACCGAAATAATTCGAAATGAATCAAATGAAACTACTTCACTAAAAATTCATACCAAACGCAGAACTATCGTTTAAAAATAACGAAGAAGGTATATGGAATAAGATCAACAAAATTTTTTTGATGTAATTTGTCACGAATTGAATAAATAGAATTTAAAATAAATTGTGCGTGGTTCCAAAAAGACCTTCATTCGGTCCCTTAACATTTTCGATTGTCCTGAACATTTCCGTTTTCGCACCGCAAGTGGAACAATGAGATCTCTGTAATTGTGGGTCCCAGGCACAAAAGGAATGAAACACTGTATTGCAACGACAAAAATTCCAAGTGGTTCTATCACCAGTTTCACTTGGCGGCTAAGCAAGATTGCATATATCACAGTTTGTTTCAAATTCCACGTCCGTTAACCTGCGCATCCAAGAATTGTTGTCACACCTCAGGGAATTACACTAATGACTGTTATGCACATTCCCACGAACAACAGTTCAGTAACCTTCAATAAACTTACAATAAATGATGGCTCGACACTGAGTGCTCATAGCAGTCCTTCATGAACAAGATAATAACAGTATTCAAATTATCTCCTTCGTCCAATCGGCTGTGAGGATCCGCTAGGTTTTCTACGGCCATTCCCCAAACAAACATATTTAATGTACGCCTTTTGATCCTTATGGAAATGAGAATCGCGCAGTGCATAATGGCAGTACGTCGCCATTTCATATGTTCTGATGGCGCTCTTTAACGCTTCAAGTGATTGGAACGCTACCAGATGCAATGCACTCAAGAATGCGTTATCTGTGTCTGTGACAACGTGAAAAACGATAGAGCTTGCACTTTGTACGTTATTAACGTCCATAATTTGATAAGGTGCTTTATAGACAAGCCATTATTAATAAATAAATAAATACTTACATTTTATATGAATTTTAAAAAAAACTAACTAATTATTACCGATTTAGAACTAATAATTTAATTGGACGAAACGGAATGAAAAAAATACAAGGATCGCCGTGCGTCTCATGATATTCCACAAAAAATAGACTTACGATCATAATTATGAGGAAATGTACTTGCATACAACGTTATAAAATACCTGATCGGATTATAATGACTTATTCACTAGTCAGACAAAAATAGGTTGCATAGATATGTGATAAGAATTGTTACATACAATACATGTTGTAATACATACACAATGTCATAACTTGAGACATAGAAAATGATTAAAAATATTAGTAACCAGATTCTTTATACAATTAGACCAACCGATTTTAGTCATTCGTGTGAACTTGAGTATGATATCGTTTAGATAAATTTATCAATCATACTGATAAATTCGTTATAGTTTAAGGGTAATGTCATTACGAACTGAGGTCAACTGAAGAGCTATTGATAATTAGATTGCACAGGGCAGACGTAATAATGTCATAAAACACCTAAGACTTAACAATTCATGCCATATTTAATTTCGTACGATTACAAATAATGGTAATGATTATTTTACGAAACGTTTTTCATATACACCAGTCTAATCTTTTATATTGCTTTTACGCCTTTAATTCTGACTACATCAAACGGGATTCAGTTAATCCTTATGATCAATAAGGTTATTAACCCATCGACCACCAACTAATACGTAAATTAACATCATTTATTTATTCAGTAAAAAGATATGTATGTAACTGTGGTTTTATATTTATTTTGTAGTTAATGGACCGTATATGGAAAGAAGAAGGTATGGATATGTGCTTAACATCATATGGTTGTTTTGCAACAGGATATGAAATGGGAATTATTGAAGCAGTACGTGATTCACGTACTGTAATGTCTATACAAGGTGAACGTTTACGTTCCGCTTTACAAATTGATTCATCACAGTTATATAAATGGTTAATGCAACATGCTAAACAAAAGGCAAGACAGTTAAATCATTCACCATTAGGTGATAATTCTGCATATGAACGAATGATACGTACATTTACTATGTCATGTGCTGGTTATTGTGTTGCTACATTTATTTTAGGAATTCGTGATAGGCATCCAGATAATATAATGGTTGATTCAACTGGGAGATTGTTTCATATTGATTTCGGGCACATTTTAGATAATCGTAAGAAGAAGTTTGGTTTTACTCGTGAACGTGTACCATTTGTTTTGACAAAAGATTTTATTACAGTAATTGCACGTGGTAATCCTGATGCTGGTACAATATCAACCACAACTAACACTCCACCATCAGTCATCCATAATACTATCGGAGGAATATATGGTAATATGTATTTTCAAGAATTCACTGATTTATGTGGTAAAGCTTACCTTCTGTTACGCAAACATTCAAATCTCATATTAACATTATTAGCTATGATGTTACCTTCTGGATTACCCGAACTAACTTCAGTGTGTGATTTGGAACATGTAAGAAAGACTTTAGCTGTCGAAATTGATAATGAACAAGAAGCACTTGCCTATTTTCATCATAAATTTAATGAAGCCTATTCTGGTGCATGGACAACAAAAATTGATTGGTTTTCACATTGGATGAATACATAATTAACTGCACAAAATATTAGTCATACCGTTACATGAATTTATTTTCTGTGAGCAATATGATTTGATATATTCATTTACTTATCGCACTGTATCACTTAAAAATATTTTTGTATATTCTGCAATGATTTGTATCCAAATGAAACAGTTTTATCTTAAACCTATGGTTTCTTGAAGCAATGAAACATACAATGCAATTGGACGTATTATTTTATTAATAAAATTCGACCTTATTTGAAGTTGGGTTGGTTAATTCCATCTATTAAATTTAATTTGTTTGTCATTATTGCATTATATATCAACATCCTAATTTCCAATATACTAGGAGGCTTAGAGATATCTAAACTTTGGATTATTAATTAATAACGTCTGGTAAATTTTAATATGATATTCTTCCTAACCAATTTAAAATTACGCAGTCTAAATACTAGTCCGAGTCTAGAACCGGAGCTTTAGCTACTTAATTCAGTCTAGCAACTAGCTCCAAGCTGTTCATCTGCATTTTATTTCAAAAGTAATGATCTCTAGACTGTTGACTTTCTAAAGTACGAACTATAACATGGTTCATTAATATACTCCTAGTTCATACATCAACATCTAACCAATACTCACTATGAGCATATTTTCGTTCAAAATTTGCAAAGTTCTGTGACTGGTTGACTAAAAAGCTATTGTATGTTTTATTTATTTCAAACATCAATGACTTCAATCCTCGCTTAGATATCTGGATACAACGTCCTTTTCTCTACTGATCTCAGTCACTTTAAGAAACAAATCGTGCATAGAAGATTCGTTAGAAAAGATCAAAGAAAATCAATTTAGGCGTCTAACACATGCAGTTAAATGCATATACAATGACCTTGGAAAAGAAAGCGAAAATCTATTAAACTGAAAGAGCTACGGAATAACAAGAAAATAGCGTCTTCAAATTCAATTAAAATAAACGATGAAAGAAATAAAATTCATCAGCAATTGTTGGACATATGGCACTTATCAATTTAAGGTGATTTTCATCTAGTCACCTTTCTACGTTTTTCGTTTTATTAATTTATTCCTACTAACTTCATTGGCTTTGAGTGTGTTTTCACTTGTACCGATTATTCAATTCTCAGTTATTTACTTTTTCCCTCATATTGATTAATTCCGTGTGATTTTGTGTCGAGTGACAAATGCTCAGTTTCATAAAACAAGTAATCAATCATCATTGAATAGTCGATTTATAGTTGGATAAAATGGAGTGCAAATTATTTCTTCTAGGGTCTTTATTAAAATGTCTTCCTTTAAAAACTTATATTCTCTCTTTTTCAACCGCAAGAAGAATTGTTGATGAATTTTTATGTGTATTAGTAATCCGATCTATCCAGATCTCATTTCGTAATAGGATCTCTCAATCGTACATAAGCAGAAAATACTGAACTCGAACTCAATTCACAACAGCAAATGGCTTATTTTATTTGGGTTTCTATGAATGCTTAACTCTTAAATTCGAAGTGTGAGTCAGTGTTGTTTCAATTATAAACTGGAGATTTATGATTTCGATTACGAGGTGATTCATCGATGCGTAGTCAAGTTTCAAAAGTGTTCAGTTTTTGGTAGCTTTCCAACTTTTTGTGACATTCCTGTTGGAACGGAAACTTAGGTTTATGTGTGTACTAAAAAAGAATAATCAACAAACCAGTTAAATATGCTATTTTTTCCCTGATTAATTGTTAATTTTAGTACGAAAATTTAATTATGTTAGTCAGTGACATCAGACTAACAATTTATACACACAAAGCAAGGACCTAAGGAAAAGATGATTTATAAATCACTATCATTCATTTCAGATATAGATTTGATGATCTATAGATTGCATACCAGTACGATCAGTTAAATATTAAATTGCACAGACATTTTTCAAATTAGTTACATTTGAAAAAATATCTGAACTCCTTCGTGTTATAACAGGAGAATGGATTTTTTTCTGGGTACTCAAATAGCGTCAGACTTTAATAGTCAGTGCTAAGTTTTAAACTGATTTCAATTCGAGTTAATCGAACCGTCAAATACAAAATCTGAATAGCAGTTCATTAATTGTGTGACTCCTTACTCTGAAACAGTAAATTAATTGAGTTTTAAGTTAGGTGAGTTTTAACTTGACTAAATAGCCTGATTGTGCTTAACACATACTCAACCAATCGAAACGATAAATAAAGCCACAACTGATACTTTGAAAAAATGAATGCAATTGTTTGACGGCAATGTGTATAGAAAAGAATACACAAAAGAGAACAAAAATAACTTTAATCTAAAAAGGATCGATAAGGAAATATATATATATATATATATAATGTAATACAAAAATAGCATATTTCTGCAACATTAATTAGTGGTGCACACGTTGGTCAAGTTAAATAGTTTATGATTTATATTAAATGGATCTTTGTGTTAAGCAGATGTTATTTAGTGTTATTCTTTAAATGAATAAAGGATAAGATGTTATCACTTCGATTTTAACATTCGATGCACTTATTAGGGATAAATACAAAAAATAGAAGCAACTGATTTGGCTTTAGGCAATTTTGCCACAATGTTAATTTTGGTGATGTGGGAAGTGAGAGGAATGGATTAAACGCTTTAGAACTCGATTGGTCACGGAAACGATATTTTCATGATTTTGTTTCTTTCCTTGTGAATTTGTTGGAGAGCTTGTTAATGCATGAACCGTCTGAAAGAAAAGAAATCATATTGTTATGTATGTATTAGACTACCTGGTTGGGAAGGGGTTCGTATGATAACAGATCAATGACTGGAGACTGGATGATATGCCATTAAGAATAGTCAAACAATGAAAATATGGAATTTACAAGCAGTCAATCAATTGTCATAGTACCAAATCTAAAACGAGACTGGTAGATGAGAGACTTTTCTCGTTTGTTCAGAATATATTTCTGTTATAGGAGAAATATAACGTCCCATGATTCTTATCATAGCTGTAACCTTTTACTTTCTTCATAAAAAGTGGTTGCTTCTTCCTTAACTGAAAGATCTCTTCTGAGTGTACGTTTCTGTTTCCCCCATTATTATTATTACACCACCTCACACTAATCTATTCGTTATCGTTTTTTTACGCTCCTTACCTTTTTTTCCTTTTCTGTAAATTCTCATTGTTTTGTGTGGCGCATATATATTTGGTTCCCTCGTGTACCAATATTTATGTGTTTAAATAAATAAATAAATAAAAACAATGGTGCATAAATAATTAAAAATTAGTGTAATACAATTATTATTTCAAGCTGTTTTGATATTCAGCCTATTTGTATGATAACTTTCAACGTAATGGATAAACTGCTTAACACTGATGGTTGAATTTAGAGACTCAACAGAAAGATTAGTGGTTACATGCACATTATAACTTACGATACACAAAGTTTGTGATAATAAGAAATACATACACTTATTTTCAGCAAACAGATGACACAGAGGAACAATAGGAACCAGTGTTGTGAAGAATTTTCTAAGTGTGTTTGAAACTTAATTGGGAGGCATATTTAGATCCAAGATAATAGCTTTTAAGGATTATAATTTTACAAATTACTTGGTATAATTTATAATTCTTTTTCATAAAATTAGGTCATGATGTGCGAGATTTGTTTTTTACGGATCCCAAAAACCTATTCCCACTGAGCTGTTGACGTTTTGCTACGCCTATTATTTCTAATCAGTCGGAGACTAGACCCCAAATGCCCTGGTACGGCCGAGAGCGGGGAGAGTCCGCTCTCCCTCTCGAAATGCCCTCATATGGCCACACGTATATAGCCTCTGTCAGGGAAGTCCCACTCACTGCCTTCTCGCGGTGGGGGTGTTGTTTACGAAATCGAGAAGACAAAAAGCGAATGTCCGGCGCTTTAACCGGGTTGGTAGACATGAAGAGTCCATCTAGATGAATCGGAAAACCCTGATTCCAAACCAGTGGTGCACATGGACTCCAGCATCCTGAAGGAACAAATGGCGTATGAACCAATTATTGGTCACCGTCTACCATGGGACTGCATCTCCTGATGCTGCTCCACTGCCTTGTAGATCAGACCTTTAGGTCAAAGGCTCCGGGTGTGGGCCCCTAAGAAAACCACCAGTTACGGTTCGGGCACCAGGGCAGTATCACAGTCCTCACATAAATCAAATGAGATTTGTGTGGCGCATATGTGTCTGGCGCCCCCTTGTACCAATATCTATGTGTTTAAATAAATAAAATAAATTACATACTACAACACCTGCAACAATAGATATTTTAATCAAGAAAGTATTGGCATAGAATATCCCATAAAGATACCTTATGACGAAATTTCGTCCCTCAACAAATGGAAATTACATACTTACGTCATCTTTTTTTCTGGCGAAATAACCGGGGAGGCTGCATGGAATTGTAAAATGCCTGCGTAGCACTGTGAATCTGTTACCAGTTTTTACATTATCACAGTTCTGATTATGAAGGGCACATTCTGACCATGGTATATGACAACCAGCATTACGTACTAATCCAGTACTGATGCGCAATTCTTGTTCTAATTCAGAAAGTGCTTTGGTCTGTCTCATATCTATAGTTACATAATTTACTCTTTGTGAGGAACAGTCATGACAGTTATTGCCAACTAGGTTACAGCTACAATTCAGGAACTCAGTTTCAGAACAATTTGGGCCAGAAGATAATGCACACTGTAAGGATTGAGATGAGTGAAGACTGGGTTTATTCTTACAAATATTACCATCATTCATTATATCATCCGATGTTTTATAATGACACATATTTGTCATTGAACTATTCACTTTGTCAGATATTGTAAGATGAGCGTAATGTAATTGTGGTGTTTTCGGAATAGATGAAGTACCATTGGAAGTAACGTTATTCGTAGATGTTGTTAGCCTTGGTGGAGTCGGTGGTCTGTCCAGAAAAGAACCTGAAAGAATAGGTAGTGAGGCTGGGACACGTGGCGCCAAAGAGGAATCAGAACTAGATAACAAATAAAGATCAAAATATAATGATTAGCTTATTTAATTTAAAGAATGAATTCATTAAAAATTATTCATATATTGATACAATTTTCTGAAATACTAATAGAATAATTAAGGCTTGGAACAGGAATATTTGGTAGAAAGTACAATGAAGCAAAAGTAAATAATTTGAGTTTTTTCTCTAAAGCCGCTCATTTGTGAAGATAATCAAAAGTTTTGACTTGAACTGTACATTTGGACTAACAGCATTATAAAATTATGTTTGTTTAATATAGACACTAATCAGTTATATTGAAATTAACAGGGATTCGCATCCGTGTTAATAATCAACAAAGATTCGACAACATCTATTTCTTTAAAAGTTAAACCCTTATAAATTTATCATTAGAAAACTCATCATCTATTTTTTAATTTTCAACTAAACAGAATAATAAGTTGTTGCTGTTATTATTCGTTAAAACTTAATCACTAAGATAAAACAAAGACTTACATTGATAATTGTACAGATGTTGGGTCTGCAAAACATCTACGTTCTGAATTATTTGGTGAAAAATTGATATAATACACTGTTGCATTTGAGTGATTTAAAACCGTGAATCCACTTTTCTGTAAACCTAATAAATTCACATAATGTTTAGGATTTTTGAAGACGATATCTGTATCCACTGGTAACTTGAAGGTATTACTATTATTGTTGGTTATTTGATCAACGTCTTGTTGTTTATTCCCAACGTTATAACTGTGAATAGATTGCGTTGAAGTAGATGAAATTAAGATCGATGAATTTTTTTCAGATAACGGTTTTAACCCAACATGAAGGTTATTCGGGAACATATTAATATACGGTCTAATGTGAAATTTAAAATTAGTTTGATATAGAGTTAGAAAATGTTTCTATACTAAGCAATATGATAATTAAACAATATAATTCAAGTTCATTTTGACAAGGTGCGTTAATAACAGTAACGCAAATAATCAATTATAAAATTCCTATAACTGAATTTCTCCAGAAGTTATTTCGGAAATAAAACAGACAGCTCAAATATCACAATGTATGATTACTGTTGGGACGTCCTAATGTGTTAATATTTGACATTTTTTATAGTGATATAACAGTTTACTTACCTAATAGCTTTCTCGTAATTATCTAGTGAAGGATTTACTATTTGGTATATAGTTTAGATAACCTCTGGCCGATTGAACACCAGTTAAATAGCTTCACTGAGTGAAATTTGTTATAAATTCGAAATTAAATATTTCGAAAAAGTATTGTATTAAATATAAACAAATAGTTATGCTTTTATTATGCTGATGGGTGCACCTATGATATTTAAGTGTTGATAGGAAACTAGACTTATACGTATATTCAATGTCGACATCGCGATTAGTCTATTGTTGACCATCAAGGAAGAAAACCTAAATATGTGACATTTTAACTCATGAATTTTTGTACGGGATTAACGCCGAAACTTCTGCTAAACCTTTAAACTTTTGTAATTTGTCATTTTCAACATTGGCAGAACAAAGTGATTACTTATCTGAACTCTTATTTTTAAAGTAACCTAACAACAAGAGAAACAATTGATATAGGTAAATGGAATGTCTGGACAATGTGGGAGATCTGCAAGACTAATCAAATAGCTACGGGAATGAGGACATACAACTTGAAGGTGCTCAGAAATAGTGAGACCCATTGAACCCAAGCTGGATAGCATAAGTTAGGTACGGGAAAGATGCTGCTATACTCCGGTCACGTAGAGGAAAATTCTCCGTACACTCAAGGAGTTGCTCTGATGCTGTCCAAAGCACGAAAACCACTTATAGGGTGGGAATCTTATGGATCCAGGATTACCAAACCATCATTTAAAACGAAGAACGATGGGATTACAGTCAATGTTATCCAGTGTTACGTACCCACCAATGATAGCAATGACGACGATAAAGATCGGTTTTATGAGAGGTTACAATCGATCATGGTGAAGTGCTCAAGAAAGAACCTGATTATCTTGGTAGGAGATCTAAACGCCAAAGTCGGAATGGACAACACCGGATATGAAGATATCATGGGACGACATAGACTGACTGGGAAAAAGGAACGAGAATGGTGAGAGATTTTCAAATCTATGTGCATTCAACAAAATGGTTGCAGGCGGCACAATATTCCCACACAAACGTATACACAAAGATACATAGGTCTCATCGAATCACACTACAGAGAATCAGATCGACCATATTTGCATCAGTAAAAAATTCAGAAGATCAATAGAATATGTGACAACCAGGAGAGGAGCTAACATAGCTTTGGATTACCACCTGATGGTTGCCAAGATGAAACTGAAGCTAAAGCAGCATTGAACAAGTGGAGAAACGGCATTACAAAGGTTCAATACAGCCTTCTTTTGATACTGACAAACTCAACGAATTCAAGATAGCTCTCTTAAAACAGGTTTCAAGCCTTACAGGATTTACTGGAAGAAGAAGAAGAAACTACTGTGGGGGACAATTGGAAAGGGATCAAAGAAACACTAACTTCAACGTGTCAGGAAGTGCTGAGCCACAACAAACACCATCATAAAGAATGGATTTCTATCGATAGTCTGGACAAGAATCAAGAAGGATAAGAAGAAAGCAATTGACGACAGTCGAACAATACCAGAGAAAGCCAAGGTACAGACCGAATATACAGAATCAGTCAGAAGCGTGAAGAGGGGAATTAGCGCCGATAGGCAGGAATGTATAGAATATCTAGTAATAACAGCTGAAAAGCTGCAAATGAAGGAAATATGAGAAAACTATGTGAAACAACGAAGGAGCCAGCTGGCAAATATAGTAAACCAAAACGAACGGTCGCGAAAAAAGACAAGCTAATCACCAAGATTCAAGAGCATTGGAACAGATGGGTAAAGCACTTTGAAGAACTCTTGAATAAACCAGCTCCACTAAATCCACCGGAAGTCGAAACACCACAAGCAGACATTTCGATAGCTTTCATCACACAAACAATAGAAGGAATCAAGATGACCATCCGACGACTCAAGTGCGGCAATGCATCAAGATCACGACCAGCTGAAGCCCTAAAGTCAAACACAGAAGTAGCTGTAAAGATGCTCCACGTTCTATTCAGAAAGATTTAGGAGGAGGAACAAGTGCCGACAGACTGGAAAAAAGGATACGTCATCACTATACAAAAGAAAGGAGATCTGAGCAAATGTGAGGACTGCAGAGGTATTACACTATTGTCAGTACCAGGAAAGGTTTTCAAGTGTTGCTGAACCGGATAAAAGATTCAGTAGACGCTCAACTTTGAGATCAACATTCTAATTCCGTAAGGATCGGTCGTGTACAGACCGAATCGTGACACTAATGATCATTGTTGAACAACCAGTTGAGCGGAACTCGCCAACTATACATCAACTTCCCTAACTATGAGAAAGCATTTGACGGCGTAGATAGAGAACTTCATGGAACATCCTTCAACACTATAGTGTGCATAAGAAGATCTTCAACATCATGCGGAATTCATACGACGAATTACACTGTCAGCCATCATTAAAGTCAAAACAGTGCATGTGAATATAGTTCCTCTTATGAAATTGTTGAGCTAAGCTGTATCTTGATCCGTCAAAAACAACATAACTCCATCAGATGTTTCAACAGACCAGAGCCAAAATAACGTGAGGACTTAGACTCTTTTGAAACAAATAAATTTTGTACCACTTTCTTCAGGAGTAAGTCAAAGCAACTAGTCATCGATAAATGGATCACAACTTTAGCTATTTTAGCCGTATGCACATCATCCCACGTCAAACACAATAGTTTTATTTATTATTACTACTACTACTACTATTATTATTATTATTACCATTATTATTATCATTACTATTATTATTATTATTAATGGCTTTATTCAATATATTTTGGTACAATATAGAATTCTCAGCACAGGTTATTTCAACAAGTTACTTAAGCAAAAAAACAGTGACAAATACAAAAAAGGAAAAAAAGGTTTGAAAAAAAGAAAAAATCATAAAAAATGTACAACTTAAAATTAGAGACAAGTTAATAATGCAAGTTAGTGACTAGGTTAACTCTAACAACCTGTTCGTCACACAGTATATTTGCTAGATAAGGCATTATAGAACTTTTATACTTTTGCTTGCGTGCATGGATTTTAATGTAATTACGTCTCTTTCTACCAGAAGATATACAAGGAGAAAGATAAATGTGAAGGGGATGGCTAGTATCTGATAAAATGACACCTGCCAGGAGTTTGCATGATTTTAAATGTCTATCCACAACCATATTAATTATGACCTCGAAAGATTCACCACACATCTTGCTAACTGTCTTCAGCACTCTCCGCAAATCAGCAAAGTCTTTTCTCAAAATCCCGGGAAAAAATAATGGAGAACAGTAAAGAATAATGGGTAATATGGAAGAATTGACAAATTGTAATGGTAAATGACGAGTAATCCTAAGAGCATGCAATCTCTTTATGTAGTAAGTCAAACGGAAAACCTTTGACAACAATAAAACGTGGGAAGACCAAGACAGATCAGAGGAAAAGGTAACACCAAGATAATTGACCTTCGACACTGTGTTTATCAAAGAGTCTCCAATGGCGTAAGCATTATGGGATTTTGAAATGGTGTTTAGATGACGTTCACGTATCATGCTAAAGTTAACAGCTTGACATTTAGACGGATTAAGTATAAGACCATTACCAACAGACCAACAATCAATACGAGACAAAAACTTATTGATTTCTATGGGATGCAAAAAGGAAGAGATAGGCATACATACAGTGAGATCATCCGCATATTTCACAAGTGTTTTCTGTGGAAGATGGCAGATCGTTCAGAAAAAAAGAGAAAAGAAGAGGTGAAAGAACAGTTCCTTGTGGTACACCTTCGTGAGACAGTAGAGACGTCGAACACTTTCCTCCAAACACAGTGTACTGTTCCCTTCCAGAGAAGTAGGAACATTGGCAGTTTGGTTATCCAGCTGTCAGTGTTGACGCTGATTAACTTGTTAAGTAAACGTTGTCTTGGTATAGAATCAAAAGCTGAAGTATAGTCCAGAAAAGCACATCGAACATACTTCTTACCCTTTTCTAAGTTGAACACTATGTTGTGATGCAGAACAGCAACAGCATCTAAGGTGCTTCTTTTGCATCTGTAAGCAAACTGATATGAATCAATATGCTCTTCTATCTCAGGCTGGGTTGGAAGTATTAATAATTGTTTTGAGGAAGGGTGAAGTTATTGCAATAGGTCTAAATTTTACATTCTTATCACCAGATGCTTTCTTGGGTACAGGAATTATCTTCATCTTTTTCCACATTTTCCGTATGGGATTAAATGAGAAGGATCTGTTAAAGATAGTCGTGAATGGATAATATAGGACGTCAGCACATTTCTTAAAAAAAAGGTTTGAGATACCATCAGGTCTTAAACATCGGGATGAATTAAGCGACTGGAGACATCTTCGGACATCAGTTTCAGTGAAACTAGGAACACAGCTATTCTTTAAACCTGTGGATAAAGGGAGCATTACATTAAATGACTGACGTACAAAAGACTTATTTAAGTCACAAACATTCAGCTGGTTATCGCTCCTAATCTGTCTGTCACATGTAAGTTCTTTAAAGAGTTTCCACATACTTGAAGAGTTTTTGCAAGACAAGAGTTTTTGAATAAACATACAGTTGAGACGTCTAATCTCTAGGTTTATCAGACCATTTAGCTTACGAACTTCATTAGAGTTCTTCTCCTTGTACATTCTTTCTTTCACCCTCCGTAGTCCTTTTAGTTATGAAGGTGTAAGTCGATCAAAATTTACAAAAATGGTTTCAGTGGGACAACAAATATCAAAACAGAATTTAAGGTAACAAGTGATAACATCAGTAGTGTTTTCCAGTGAGTCATCTGAAAATAATTCCAGATTAGTCGTATGAAACATGTTTTTCAGATTTCGGATGTTTTCTTCTGAGTAATTCCTATATTTGACTTTCTTGGTTTGATGTAAGAGTGTACTCTTCCCATACTTTCCATATACTTTAGGTAGAACACGAATTATACAGTGATCCGAGCTAGACAATGGAGCACGTTTACGAGTCGCATATATACCCACATCATTAATGAAAACGAAGTCTAAATGAGCTTCCAAACGGGTAGGAAAATCTACTACATTTTGGTGACCCAGTGACGTAAGGAAGCTACAGTCACATGAATTGAATTCACCACATACAACTGAAAGTGAATCACTGAAGACAGTAACAGTGAACTCAGCGAATTCATCAGCGAAAACAGATAGCGTAGATGTTGTGCAGTCTGGAGTCACGTAGGTATTGGTAACATAAACATATTTGTATTTATTCAGATGTTTTGGACGACATCTTAGTCAATAAAGTCATTAGAAAACTTAAAACACAAACGAAGATCGACACCAGTTTATGTTTACAAACGTAGCTACACCGCCACCACACCTCTTTTTATTGTTTGATCGATCCTGACGATGAATTTTGAAATCACGTAGTGATACTAGGCAGTCGTCCTGTGAATCATTTAACCGAGATTCTTGAATTGTGATGACACCACAATTACGATACATATTTTGACTTAGTAGGAACTGCAGATAGTCCACTTTGTTGATTAGTGATCGGCAGTTAGAATTTAGAAGCTCGGGAATCGACATATGATAAATGTTCATTCTCTTTAACACATATTGCCAACCACCACGATGTCTTTTATAGTACTTTTTTGCAACTTGTGCAGCGAAAGGTCGTAGGCTTTTCATAAAAGCGCCTGGATAGGTTATGCGATTAATGGACATAACGATAAGTTAAAACAAATGAAGAAACAGATAACTTGTTGAAATAATTAGATGGCAGAAACAGGTAGCCTAGATATTAAAGCAGGCCGCTGATGCCGTGCTTCCAAATCCAAAATGTAATGCATTGAAGATGATTAACACATACAAACTTCTTATCTACAAGTGCCTAAACTGAGGGCAGAACAGAGTACAATATTGTATCGAATCTTAACAACCTGCCAAATATCCTATCTATGACACAAAAGATATAGGATCAGTAAACAGTAACTAGATAAATCTTTTATAAACACGATATGTTAATGGTTGCTGTACAAAATAAAAAAGCACTTGGATACAAGGAAGGAATAAGTAAAAAGCACACTTAATTTTGCACCTTAATCAGAAGACATTGTTTAGGAAATGCAAGAAATCATAGTTTCGTCGATTATCCCATTTGTTTAACAGCTTACTTTGCTTGTACGTAAGAAAACTAATTTAGTGATAAAAGTAGTTGTACAATACAAATTTGTAGGAGAAATGAGTATGGTAGATACTACTTCTTATTGATAATAACAGAAGAGAGTTCAATTAAGCCGAAGTAAAGACTTTCTACATAGTTTGATCACCCAGAATATTGTTCAGTCTTATATGATAAAATATATCCCATGTATTAGTGGTACAGACAGTCGAACTGTTGAGTGCAGATTATATTTTGATATTGAAATTGAGTAACTTGTTGAGAATGAAACCTTTTGGTATGAAAATGAACTGTGAAAAATTGGTGAGATGCGATAGCTATTTAAATCCTATATCTGAATATTTACATTAGAGTTCATTTTTTCCATAGTACGACAATAAATAACTTATAGAATATACAAGTCAAATAAATCGTAGAGGATACAAATATAGTTGTTGGGTAGATCTTTATAGTAACGTCAAATGCCTGAATTACTAATAACGCATTCCTGTTGATTGATAAGCAAATTTTTAATTCAAGAGTTGTGTTGAGTATACAGTCATGAACAAACACTACCACTTGTCTTTTCAGTATGGGGTTTTGGAGCTTGTCCAATTCTACTGAAATCACGAACCACCACTGAAAACTTGGAAGCACTGGACGACGGTTTTGTCCTGGTAAGAGACTTTCCAACAGATCCCATGTGCGGAACTCGAACCCAGGACCTTCGGTCGCGTGCGAGAATGCTGAGCCGGCATTCAACAGTGTTAATGTCTAACCTCAGTCAATCCACGGCATTACGTGACCATCTCCCATTGACTTTGATGGGTAGCTGCCTCCCAACAGACACGGTTCAGCTTCACTGGTCACGGAACTTACAAACCACTAGCTTTTATATCAAACAGTCCTGACTGTGCACTGCTTCAGTTAATTAGTACATGAATAGGATTTATCGGATCATATAAAGTGACACATATACCTTTAATGATTCGAAAAAGCTATTTTGAAGATGTTCATAAAACGTTCTGTTGAAACTGATACAAATAAGAACATTTAATTGGCGTCAAGTTTACGTGTGAGACCTCTTATCGTTTTTAATAAACATCAACCGATGTTGGAAATTACAAGATTGCTTTGTACATGAGTCTAACGAAGTAGCTGGTATATCTAAAATAAGGATATCAGTTGTGAGGATCTGTCAAGCTATATTTCGTCGATATGTAATAATTTATATGGATGAGATTTTCAAAGAACTTGAAGTATAAAAACCCAGTTTTGAAGGAAAACATTAAGGAAATAAACTTAATTGTACAAAGGAGGGAATCACAAGGAAAGGAATGGATGAATAAAGAATGTTTGATATTCACTCATATACGATAAGAAAGGTATGATGAGGGTGGAATTGAGAGAAAACTCAATATTGTACATTACCATTTAAAAGTAGATCGAAATCAAATAAACTCAACAAGAGATCTACGAAATCAACTATAATTACGATACGCATGTATTCATAGACCCTACTAAACAATTTCGGATTAACTTAAGAAAGTACTTGTGACATAAATAGTTCTTACCCTGAATTTGTTAATGACTTATCACTTTGAGACGCCATAACACGATTAGATGTAGTTTGAAACAAAAAATCAGAATCCGATACATTTGTTGTTACGGGACAAAAAGCTGATGTCTTAAATTGGGTAGGATCGTTTGACGACTGCTGTTTATACTGAAAGGTCGCATTCCCATCAAATGCTTCTGTTAAGCATGTTAACGTACTACCTAAAATAAAATGTAAGACATTAAGTTAGTGAAACTGTTGTCTAGTTTACAGTTACAAATTGAAAACTCTCATAAAGAAAATTGTAGAACGTTATTTGATAATGTGCGATAACGAAACCCGTGATTTAATTTACAATGACTAATGATAAATCCCTGAAAAAGAACTCAACAGGAAACACCAGGTCTGTATGTTGTTTCTGATTACAGTGATAGCTCTTAACAACTCTTCGATACCAGGTAACAAAATTTGCATTCTCTTGTAACCGAAGCTACTCCTAAAAGAATGACGTGAAGACTTATTTGGTAGAGACTAAAGAAGATTACTTCATATTCGAGTTTACTTAGTTATAGATCGATTGCATTAAGTGATTATTAGTTAAAGAATTTGTCAAACTGGACAAATATCACTTGAATGAAAAATCACAATGAATTAATTAACACAATCAAAATGCACTGAAAGTCGAATGAATGAAAATCACTTTACATAAACATGTGAATAATAAGATTGATCTCTGACTAATATGTTATATTTGAAGAATTAAAAGCTTCAACAATTTCCATTCATAATAATGGGAAATCCTAATTTTAATAAACCTTATCTAAATCACAAATAACGATTATGGAACTGTTTTGCTACTTTATCACCATTTAGCATAATTTTGGTGTACATTGAGAATCAGGTGCATAGTGAGGCATAGAGACATTAGTAATTGGGTGAGATGATTTAGCTATTAGTACTAATTAGTCAATTGAAAGTGAATAAGTTACGGATAATCAATGGTTTTTGTAAAGTATCATAATGCGCTATAACAGTTACATTGTCAACATACAGAGGTGAAATGTCACCTTTCTATATTTTTGGTAAATGCTACGAGAATTTATTAGAAGACATACCTGTATACTTCATAAATAACTTGAAATAAAGATAATACAGTCAAACACTATACAGACACCTAGGCAGTGCGCATTCACAATTCCCCTTTTGAGATTCGGACCCAGGACCTTCTGTTTCGATGCGCACTGCTGAGGAGTCCCATACTAAGAAGAGACGGCCATCCCATTCTTCCAGGTTTTCAATGATAGTCTAACATCGATCGATTGATGATCGCAATCGAAAAACTTTAACGATCTCCACGAACCCATACTGATAACTATACAGACAAGTGGACTCGCTTAATTCAAGTACGGATATGAAATTATAAACACTATAAATGTGTTGTTATACATACAACAAAAACTTATTTTTACAAATTAGTATACACATTTGCAATAGTTAAAGGGCAAACTACAATGATAAAGGTGACTTAAAACAAATAAGTACAGTAAACTCCTTACCAGATTCACTTGAATGGTTTTCATTATGACATACATTGTTTGACGAATTCATCTGAGAACAGCTACCAAAGCCTTTCACATTATTTGAAACAGACGAAAATTGTTGCTGTTGGTCGATGCGAAGAGCCTGAATCACCTTTCTGGAAACATAGTGTTTCCCAGTTTTCGGTTTAGCATAAGTAGGTGCGTCCGCCCAAAGTGGTGTAAAAGAAGGTGATAAGGAAACTAGTGGGGATTTGATACTGCCCTGTTTATTTGTGGTTGGAGAACAAGGGGAACTATGTGAATTGCTTGAGTCCTTATGATAAGGTGTTGTGCTTTCACACGTACTGGCAGTATGTTGTCGTGTCCTAGCATACTGGCTTCCTGGGATGATAGTTGGTGTCGTCAAAGATGAAATATAAGTGTGTTGTGGGCTATTTCCATTGGACAAACACCGATTCAATTCAGTCTGATGTCTGCGGATAGGGCGAATGTTATATTGCGTAATGTTCGCTTAAAAAACAAAGACAAATATCTCTCGATGAAACAAATTATGCAAAATTTTGATAGTTCAATCATATTATGTGGTATGGTTATAAAAGTTAGACTGTAAGCAAATCAACAGCTTTGTGAGTGACTTTGAATGTTAAACAAAATTTATAGCACAACTAATTTATAAGTATTACACAATGTATAGAATTTCCTTATGAAATACGGGATGATATTTTTCCTATGTAACAGTTCATAACTCCTTCCTATTGTATATTCATGCTGGTTAGGTCTAACTAACCAGTACTAAACTCGATAACGAGAAACGTGTGTACTTGGCATTTTTATTTGATGTTTGTTAACCGAATGTTGTGCATACTATCTATTATGAATCGACCATTTTAAACCGATACGAATTCAATTTTTACTATTTCGAGTCCAAGTGCTATCAGATGCTTTCAGTTATGGTCACAATTAACGCTGATAAGAGAATACTGTAAAAATGATTCAAGTAAAAAATTGCAAATTATTTTAAACAGAAAATATGAGAATAAATTTATGGTATAATGAAGGATTGATTGCTTTCTATGTTAACGTGGTGACAAAAAAAGAAAGGATGAAGTCCAAGTAAAAAAGATTGGTAAGAACCTTGTTAATTAGTTTTATTGCGAAATAATACTAATATGAGGTAGTCATTGACGTCAAAAAGTGTATCTATATGTAAGCTAACACTAATAATCAAAGAAAAATTAGATTGTCGAACAAATATTTAAAACTTTAATGTCCATATACGATATATGTAATTACAGAAAAAAGTGCTTCATTACATATATATAATTTCATATTGTCTTAATGTTGATGACAAGAAAACAAAAATAATGATATTAAACAATGTGATGATAAATAGTAAATTACCTGACGTATCACCGTTATTTATCAGTGTTCGACTAATAGTAGACCAACTGCTTGGTAGTCTTTTACGTCGACGAACATCTTGAGAGGGAGAAACTGTACTAGAGCGACCAGGAGAGTCCGTTAATGGCTTAAAGACATTCTGATCGGATACAGAAAAGGGTGTACGAGGGCTGTACTTTAAATTGAGTTCCATTTGTTCTGTAGTGAGACCATCAGTAGTAACGTTATTATGGTTTTCATTTTTATCAGCTGAAATAAAATTGCATTGAGTTTTATTGTACGGAATACCTGAATGAATATTGTTGTCTTGTTGTGAACAGTTGTTTGATAAAAAAGTATCGTTGGAAATATTATCTTTAGTAAGCTTTTCTGAACAAATCAGGCAGATATTTTTATTATTACACGTTTTCTTATGAAAACCATTATCACATGAATCATGAGAATCAGAAGAAAGAGACAAAAGTCCACTACAAGTACAAGGTAAATCTTTGAAGCAAAACGAACAGTACGGTTGACAGAGTAGTTCTTTCAACTTCAGCGTGTCCAGAGGTTGTGAAGGTAAAGTCACCAAATAAGGCTCAGATCTAAAATGACAAAGTTTGAGATGTTGAAAATATAATTGTTACATTTTATTAATTATATTTACTTGTATTTAATAATGAGCAAAACCCAAACTAATAAAAAAGGTCAACCACTAAAAATGAGTATTACATATTTTACTATTTTATAACGGTTGTTTCCAAGATAACAAACATTCAATCTTAATAGGAAAATTCTAAATGGGGAGCCTATTGATATCATATAGTTAAGTAAAAAATTTATTTTACTGAAAGATTTGCTACAGATGAAAATATGAAATTTTTTGTTTGTTTAATTAGATTTTTAGTCAAAATGTAGATAAAGTAGAATTCCACAAAATTTATTCCAGTTTAAACTCGCATGTTTTATAACAACACCGCGTAGAAATCAACAAGATAGAAAAAAAACTAAGAAGTGAAGGTTAGTAGTATCATCAGTACTAAAAACAAAAAAAATACAAATTAAAAGATACAAATACAATAAGAAAATGAAAATTATAGAGCAATATTATAACTAGAAACAATGGATATATTAGAGGAACACATGGAGATTTGCACGATGAGAAAAAGATAAAAACTGATGACAGATGGGGATTTTATTCGTCTTTTAAAAATATGGCAGTCACCTATTGACTAAAAGTATATATATATTGGTATTTGATGACTACTTAATGAATATCATCCGTAAGTGAAATAAGGGAAATATACAAACAGGCTTTAAACAAAATTCATACAAGAGAATGTTATATTAGATAAATATCACAATAAATTAACAGGAATAATAAACTGAATAAGATCTAGCATTTTATCCAATCCCAACACTTTCCCTGGTTTACCTGGATATGTATGAGTACGATACTTCAAATGGATTGACTTGGAGGTTAGATGTCCTTCTTGTAATTAATGCGATCTCCCGGGCTAGTTTTGTGGTAGTAATTCAAACTTTTCGAGTGTTTTTATTCACTGGATCTTCTATTAGTACTTCTCTCAGTAAGGTTTCTCAATCTGCGATTAACTGCGTGTTACGTCCTTGATCTATCTACCCACCAATATACAGAAGATAGCTTGTCCCAATCTAAATTAAGACTTTGATACGATAGGCTGACTGGTTTAGCCTCGAGGCTAGAATCGAGTGAGATCGAAGTGAGACTAACTGCCTTGGGAAGAGAGACAAAAACCATTCTATCACCTGATTGGTTGACAAGCGCGCACGAAAGAAGACGAGGCAAGTGGAACACTACCCGATTTATTACCGATTCCCACTTAGATTATTGCAAAAAGGTACATGAATAAATAGATGACTAACATGGCCATAACGAACAAACAGTTAAGAAAATACAATTATGTCCAAAGCTGGGAGTCTAGAGTAATTTTGGATGAAAAATGGATATGGCAGTGAATTATACATCAAACGAAAGTTTATGGTCTGTAGAATAAACTAGGGGCAAAAATAAATTTCAGTGTTTTACAGGGTTTGTATTAAGTGACAACGTCCCAAATTAGTATCCGTAGTTTATCATAGTGTTATAACTTGTGACCACCGATTAGGGAGCAGTGAATTATCGATCGGACCAAGGATGCGTAAACCCGTATGAACAGCCTAGAGCCCTGATTGGTCCTGCTTCCTGCCTAGCCCAGCCAGTTAAGTCAAGTCCAGAACACCAATCCGAGCCTCCACGATATGAATCATGTATTTCAAACATACTCGGTTTATATATCAATCAAACAGACCACAACGTACCAATAAAATATGAAACAACATTTGTACAAGAATTAGCCAGATGTGGCTGTGAATGAGGGAGGTATTAATTAATATACTGGGTATAATTCAAGAATGGTAAAACGTATAATAATAGTTTATGGGTCAAAACAAAGCTTATAATAAGAGGGATATGAATATGCATAGTTTAGTTACTTAATAATTATACAGTAGAAATATACGTTTAGTATTGGTCCATAAATGGATCCCAAGAGTTACCATTTATTATTCTTGTCGGGACATAACACATAGCTTCTTGTTTTTCTGTTCACATTACTGAATCGTCTTTACACCCTTCTCTTATGTGACTAGAAAATCTCCTCCACATAGGTTCACTCACTTTCATTTAGTGTATGACTGTGCCTGTTTTTTTCTACTATGCCATATAACCACTCTGATTTGAAACTGTGGAAACTCTTCACCAAGAAAGCTTTCTCAAGATAACAACTTTCAGTGTTAACAGCATCATTTACAGTTATAATTCCAATTTATGAGAAATCATTCGAATTTTCCGCTAAAATATATTTTCTGCTGGGGACTTCTCACTCATTATTGTGGGAATCTGTGTTGAGTGCCAGCTTAGCAGTAAATTCTGTACGATTTCTTCTACTGCACCTTCCCCTTATGCCTTCTGAACTGCTTTTCTATCGAATCAATAACCCGTCTTGTCTGACCATTTAATTGACAGTGGTATGATGGGAACCTGAAGCGATTGACATTTTTTTCCACACAGAAAACCTCGAACTGGATTGAAGTAAACGGTGTTCCATTGTCAGAAATATTGCATGTGATAGTCCAGAACGATCAATCAATATAAGTTTCCATACCGTAGCATTTGTGAAAAGTGTTCACCATAAAAGCTTTTGTTCATTCTGAAAATAAATCGATGGTAATGAGGAACTGTTTTTCCTGCAATGGCCCATTAAAATCTAGGTAAAAGAGTGACCAAAGTCCTATTGGTGCTGGTCATGTTCACAGTTCAGCTTTAACACGGATTACCGCAAAAGTCAATGGGCGATAGGCAGTATAAGGCACATTTAATGGAAAATTAGACATTTCGAGTGTTAATTTGGTTGCAAAGTGAAAATGTACTGAGATTTCGGTTAACGGAACATCTGTTAACATTCAGATGGACACTGGTTCAGATATTGCAAGCACTGTTATGTTCAGGCTTTGGACAAAGATAAAAGGTAAATGCAACTTCTCTAACTCAAATAGTTTCGGGTTAATTAGTCATAAGCAACGTAGAACCTGGGATACGTGTGGGTCGATTTAAGTTACCACACTACTTCAGCACAAGATGAAATTATCAAAACAAATCCCACAGTAGTAGGAGTAGTGACAATATCAATGATAGCATAAAACATTAGGTATAGATAATATGATTCAGAAAAGAATGGATTCGTGAAACAAAACATAAAAGTATTTTAAAACAGAGATTGAATTCATCTAAGACATTAGGAACGATTCTGAGCCATGTTATTCAGCCTCTAACCACTTATTACAGTAATCACGAGAACCCCAAGTAGGTAGTCTGCACTTGCCTACATGATTTGTTTCACCTAGATTATTCCTTACCTACTCTTACACCAGCAAACATCACCCGCTAATGTAGGCAGTGATTACGCATACGTCATGTATACTCCGATCACCTCAATCGACGAAGATTCCCTATTTCATCAACTGATTTACCATCTTCATCTAGCACAATGCGTCCGACTTTAGTATTATTCACTTGATGGCAAGTAGTCGCTCCAAGATCAGGGCACGATAAAGTCTCGTATAGTTGTCTCGGACCACGCTAGGAGGATATTTGCCACTCCATACATGGTTTGACCAAGAGACGACTTTACGTACTTGCTTACTTACTTGCTCCTGTTACCCCACGTAGAAGAGTATAGTCCGCCCACCAGGATTTTTCACCGAACTCTGTCATGAGCAATTCTTTCCAGTTGTTTCCAATTGCTATTCATTCTGTTGATGTGTTTTTAATTCCCAACGCAATGTGTTCCTCGGTTTGCCTTCTTTCCTTTTACCTTCAGGACCCCAAGTGAGGGCTTTTCACGTGATCCAGTTCAGTGGTTTTCTCAGTGTATGTCCCACCCATCTCCAAAGTCTTTTCCTAATTTCCTCTTCATTTTGAAGGTGGTTTGTTCTCTCCGAAAGTAGGCTGCCGCTGATGATGTTCGACCAACGGACATCGAATATTTTGCGTAGATATTTATTTATAAATACTTGTACTTTTCATCAAAAAAGTCTACCCAAGATCCTTAGTGATCGTTAACCAGATACGATCAGCAACAACCTACTGTGGGAGGTATGAGAAAGGGAACTGATGGCTTTGGAAAACTATAGGTTAGGACGATAATATATGTTAAATAAGTTTCGATGCATATTTAGCTCAGGATTCTTCAAATGTAAGGTGAATGCTTCAGCGATGTAAGAAAAAGAAAGCCAGGTTCCACGTTACTTATGACTGATAGAGTGACTGCTTTCAGTAGGTTTTTATTTACCATATAGGTGAGTTTAAACGATATTCTAAAGGTCACCAGTGGCCATCTGATACAAAAACGTGTTATGTATCACACAGCTGCATCGATGAAAATAATCAGATTTTCTTGTTTAGTTATTTGGACATGTGAGACCGGACAGTAAGAGAGGAGAGCAGTTGTATTGATCCAAACCATGTACCCATTAGCTTATCTACATTGTCTATCCAGTACCGACGACCTTCGGCTAACCAATGACACGATAAATGTGAGATAAAAAACGAGTGTAACACAAAATGACTATTGGTCCAGAATGCAATTTACCACACTAGCAGATCCGAAAATAGAGAACAGCTCAGCAAGTGTCCTGGTACGACCGTGGATGGGAAGAGTCAGCCCTCCCTCTCGAAATGCTCTCACATTACCACGTGCATACAACCACTGCCAGGGAAGTCCCACTCATTGCCTTCTCGCGGTGGCGTGTTGTTTACGAAATCGAGAAGACAAAAAGCGAATGTCCGGCGCTTTAACCGGGCCAGTGGGTATGGAGGATTCACCTGAGGGAGTTGGAAAACCCTGATTCCAAACCAATGGCACACATGGGCTCCACTATCCTGAGGGAACAAATGGCGTATGAACCTATTGTTGGTCACCGGCTACCATGGGACTACATCTCCTGATGTTGCCCCACTGTCTTATGGATCAGATCTTTAAGTCGAAGGCCCCAGGCATGGCCCCTAAGGAAACCACCAGTTTCGGTCTGGGCACCAGGGCAGTATCACAGCCCACACACAAATCAAGTGCCTTGTGTGGTGCATATCTATTCGGTGCCCCTTTGTACCAATATTTCTGTATTTCAATAAATAAATAAATAAAAACTCAGTATGTAAGCTTGAATTTATATAAAAACAGCCAAATTCTGACCCTATGTCAACAGAATTAAGGAATTACAAAAGGGTTATAACTTTCCCATAAGTGGAAGAGGACTGAGTGATAGGTTGGTAATAAATTAACAATAACTTGGGAAAACTAAGACACAAAACAGTAGGTGAGTCAAGCGAAAGCTTACATGTAGGGGAATACAAATATATGGTAGTTTAAGTACTAAATAATTATACAACAAAAACATAAACAATAATTGTAGGTGGGACTGTTTCGAAACCTCACTACTGTTTAATACTTAACCCGACATAGTAGATATCATTTAAGCTTCGCACAATTACGATAAACCAGTAATAGGATCGAAATTACGGTATGTAATTCAAAAACAGAACTGATACGTAAAAATAGTAAGATGTCCGAGATTCAAAGTGAGACAATGAGTGGGCCTATCTGTTCCGCTGGGATATACCATGAAGGGTTTTATTCATGTCTAATATTGTGAAAACTAGATACAGACAGCTCAGTACACTGTTTGGATCTACAGTTAATAACCACGTGCATTGACTCAATATCTCATATTACGACTTTGAGACCTATTGAAGTAACTATATTTGAGACTGAAACATTTACACATTTTAAATATTGTTGACTGGAAATTTAGATGCTTTACATATTACTACATGACGTATCTTTTAGAGAGTGATTGTTTGAACTGAAACTAGAAATTTTACTTAGCTTATGTTTTTATTACGCTAACTCCTGCTTATAGTTGATATGATATTAACTAATATTAAGAAGCTACCGGTTCAAATGTTCCTGTGACCTAAAGTTTCTTTATGCCTCGATCGCAATTAGTCTAGCAAGGAATCAAGGTTGTTTGTGATAATCTAAATAAAAATTACTACATATCACGTAATGGCCGTTACATGAAGCTTGTATATATGTGATCTTTTCGGGAATACACTTTGTATCATACTAAGACATTAGCAGTTAGATGTAGCAACTCTAAACTCACCAAATTAATATCAGGGTGAACCAAGTACAAATACAAACAACGGAGATATTATCGAAATCCCTGAACAAACATGATGCTAGTATATGTTGTTTTTATTACCACGATCTCCTTTGTAATGCCTGCTGACTTTAAGTAGCTACGTTGGTTACACCAACGTTAAGGACAGAGCTTATGTCAATCTTTACTGTGAAAGGATAGTTCTTGAGGAATCTGAAGACATAAATGAATAGGCAAACTATATACCGACTTAAAGTTGTGGCTATAAAGTGGGGATGGAAATAGACCATTTGAGCACAACTGTTTGTACAATTAGGTAATTCTTTTTAAAAACTAATCAATATGTCATGAATTAATTTTCATATAATATAAACACCTTACTTACCCTCTCCAGTGACAAATATTACATTCCCGTAAACAGTGTGTGTGACCAGAGTATGGATAAGATTTGGGGTTAACATTGACCTATCAATTTTAAAAGTATCAAAGGAACAATAAGAAAGGCTGTTACTAACTAACAATTGACGGAATAATATAGAAGTATGGAAATGAACACTACATTTTATGAGCTGGGAAGACAATGAATTTATACGTCAATCATATTTTGACACATTTCACATTTTCTTGTTGCTTTTATTATATGAACATTATCCAATGTTAGCTTTTGTCTGCTCAATAAAGAATCGAAAGAAAATGAATAATCATATCATGAAATTCAGAAAAATGCTTCAAATCTGCCCGAGTAAATACATTGAGAAAATTAATTTTTGAGCTAAAGACTTGCTGTTGCAAAAAGAGAAAATGGTATACTATACTTCAATTTGTTTAAGGAAAGAGGCTTAAGAATATAACAGTTGACCTTTCCTGTAATCTAAAAATCTCCTATGATGCAACAAGTAATCATTAAGTTGCATTACTTATTTATTTAAACAGAAATATTGGTACAAAGGGGCACCGAATAGATATGCACCACACAAGGCACTTGATTTGTGTGTGGGCTGTGATACTGCCCTGGTGCTCAGACCGAAACTGGTGGTTTCCTTAGGGGCCATGCCTGGGGCCTTCGACTTAAAGATCTGATCCATAAGACAGTGGGGCAACATCAGGAGATGTAGTCCCATGGTAGCCGGTGACCAACAATAGGTTCATACGCCATTTGTTCCCTCAGGATAGTGGAGCCCATGTGTGCCATTGGTTTGGAATCAGGGTTTTCCAACTCCCTCAGGTGAATCCTCCATACCCACTGGCCCGGTTAAAGCGCCGGACATTCGCTTTTTGTCTTCTCGATTTCGTAAACAACACGCCACCGCGAGAAGGCAATGAGTGGGACTTCCCTGGCAGTGGTTGTATGCACGTGGTAATGTGAGAGCATTTCGAGAGGGAGGGCTGACTCTTCCCATCCTCGGCCGTACCAAGGTATTTAGAGGCTTTAATCAAATTAGACCTTCATTACAGTAGGATAAGTTTCAAAACTAAAATAAACAGACATTCATCTACAGGTTAGGAGTGATACTTAGTTATTGAGGAAACAAATTTTTTTAGCTTCTACACAATCCTCAAAATTACTTGATAAAAAATGGCAAATATGTAAATGTTTATGTAGGTGGAAATATTCAGCAATGTTTCGTAACCTCAGACTTAAATAATAGGTGAAATTGGTACTCCAAGAAACTAAAGCTAAAGTGCTGGTCTACTAAAAGGGTTCAGAGCGATGAAGCTGAAAATCTAAAGACCATATTAAGTACTTTTTACTCTATATTATCCATCCAATTTGTAAAGCATCGGATTATATCAAACAATCATATCGTATATCACATTTTGTTGCTATATATTTGATAGAAAACAGGTGAGACATATTTTCTTCATGAAGTTTCCCAGTGCAATAAACAAACTCGGATCGACTTGAGATCAATTACTGGCTTAAGTGAATGCAAATATTCACACCCAGATACATAAAGATCTCTTTCAACAGTAATAAAAAAGACACGTAAGGAAAATAATTAAATGATGCCCTATCCACATATCTCCTACTAAATGATATTCAGCATCTACAAAACTAAGAAGACAGCTGCACTAACGAAATATAAAAAACACTACAAAAAGCATATCGAAGCTAATGTGATCATTTTATTCCTCTGATAAATGAAAAAAGATGATATTTATGTGGCTTATAATGCAGAAACAAGTAGAAATAATTTAACTTCTACTAACTAATAAAGATTTATTTGATATTTACATAGGACTTACATTAATACTATTAAGAGAAGTGCACTGATATGTTGCTACAGGATGGCTAGACAAACGCCGTCTTGGATGCATAGAAACCCTGACATAATTTGGGGGAAAAAAGTAAATTTCAGTACTACTTGAAATAACTGCAAAAGGGAAGGTTTGTGATAAAAGTGTGAACTTATCATTACTCTCAAGCAAAAAGTAATTATTTCTTTATTATCCATAGGGCCTTTGTCACATAACTTAGTAGATTAGCTATTATTCAGATTCGCAGAATCGGTTATCATGGTAGCTAACATTATTTGCCAGGTATGTTTATAAACTTGCCTTTAGGCAGCGCATCACATGCATGAGAGCCAGTGATACGATTTGATCCCACAAACCAAAATGGTTAGTAAGGTACTCTAGCTTGAGACAATGGTTGAAAGGTGAGTGCTTAAAGACACCGTCTAACCTAGCGACTTCAAATTGGGCGGCCTGCTTGAGCATCTGGGCTACCTGTTCCTGTCATCTAAATATTTCAACAAGTTATCTATTTTTGTTTGTTTTAATATATCATTATGTATATTAATCGCATAACCCATCCTAGTGCATTTCTGAAAAGTTTACAACCTTTCGCTGTCAAAGTTACAAAAAGCTCAATAAGAGATAATGTGGTCGCTGGCAATATGCAGAGAAAAGAATATACATTATTCAGATGTTTATTTACTGGACTGCTAACATCTAACTGGCTATCACTCAGTATTTATCGTCAGGATCGACCAAGAAGAAAGAAACGGAAACTTGTTGAAATACTTTGTGCTGAGAATTCTATATTGTACCGAAAATATAATATTGAATAAAGCTTATAATAATAATAATAATAATAATAATAATAATAATAATAATAATAATAATAATAATAATAATAATAATAATAAATATCAGCACAATAATAGGCATAAAAATCTCATATTCTCATCAGATATCGTTGAAGGATAGATAGAAGACTGCTGCTCACGCTGGAGCGTACGCATAGAATTTGATCATGCACTAGTGAAAGCAAGACTTTTCAGGTGTTTTACTGGGCGTACGAATGCTACAGCAAGAAGATCAGCTAGATGTTATTTCGGAGATGAAAAGGCCAAGGATATATTCAGGGAAGTATCAGCTAAATACCTAGTCGATAGTAAAGGAATGGTCCAGTTTGAAGAAGCTGGGAACGATATCCAGGCAGCTGTCAATACAGCAGTGATATCAAACGGCAACTTAGGAAAGACCAGGTGGCATTCACTAAACTGACAGAGGCTCGGAGAGCGATGAAGAGCGACAACTCAGATATAAATAAACGAAAAGTTTATGCTACGATCGTGAGCAGTGGTAGGCGACGAAAGTAAAGAAGACGGGAAAAGCAGAGCTAATAGTAGACAACTGTTCAGACTTAATATGAAAGTGGGTATTGAAAAGATAGGTGTTAGTGAGACTATCTTGGAAAAGGATGGAACTATTATTCACTATTAATCTAGATTAGATAAAAGGGCAGAACACTAGGAAATAGACCAACTGACCTCCAAGCCCAATCAACTTGAATAGCAAATCGACACAAACTGTTCAACTCTTAATGATGTTGGAAGGGATATAGGTCATCTAAAACTAGGGAGACCGACAGGCTCTGAAAGGTTAACTAATGTAGTGTCTGAAATATTAGGTTTTATAGGCCTTCATCCCTTACCTAGGGCCCGTAATGAGCAAAACCTGGAAAACCAAGCTAGTCTTGGACCTGAATGTGGATATGCAAACCAAATATTCACTTTTTATCAGGTGTTAGAACATAAGCATACTCGCTGGAACTCGACTCTGAAAAGAGTTTCTAGACCTTGAGGTGGCACGCGGCTATGTCGTTAGAGAGGTCCTGTGGCAATGTTTATCATTGAAAGGCCTACCAAAGAAGCCCAAAATCCTTGAAAGGGCTGTCTACTCAGAAACTATTGACTGAGTCAGGGTTTATAAAGCCATGTCATCTTTAAACGGCATTTGTCAGGGGTGCCTAATATCTCCATTTTTATGTAACTTTTTGATATTATATTAGCAATAACACCTTTAACAAACTTTTCAGGGCTTTATTTCTTATTAGGAGTTACATTTATTAACTTAGAATACGGCTGAGACGTAGGTGCATTTATTGAAGACGCTGACAAAAAAGCCGTCGCTTGATTGCCTGGAGCAACAATGCAAACATGTTTGTGATACGTTTCTCTCCCTGTAAATTTAAAACATTACTTCGGGACCGGTCTGCGTCAACACATGGACAAGCGATATGCAGTGAAGTATTTAACTGCGCTGGCCACTTCACTTTTGTTGAGAGTCTTATCGCCCCTCATTGATTGATGTCTGACGAAATCTCGGCATGAATTTAGAAAGGTAGTGAATCCTCACCGACTGAGTTGTTAAGATATGCATCACGTATACCCATTCACTAATTACCCTGATGAGTGATGGTTGCTAGTGTAGGAGTAGATTAAAAGAGATCAGTCAGTAACAACGTAGAACTTCGTACGTACGTACATCAGTTCGAGTTGCCACACCACATAAGCACAGAGATGCAGTTGTCGATTCAAATCCCGTAGTGGTAGAGGTAATAAGAGTATAAGCAGTAATCGGGAAGATTAGGGTTTGGAGATGTTATTTAAAGAGTATAATCCAGTGAAATAAATTTGGAAAGAGGAAAAAAGGGACATGAAGAATTCAGAAGATTAGAATTTCGGAGAACACAGAGAGTGGATGTACCTGCGCCATTGCAAACGATTTTGAGCCATGTCATTCAGGGTCTCTAACCATCAGTTGCTATCATCTCGCGGTCCCCAACCAGGTAGTCTACACCTACCAACATGGCTCAGTTCACCTGTCAGTGACTTCATGTACTTGTGCCATATTTTGGTTTGGCCGCCCCTAGCTTTCTTCCAACCTACTCCTATACCATTGAACATAGCACGTCGAGGCAGTCGGTCGTTGGACATACGTAACACGTGTCCCAGCCACCTCAACTGATGAAGTTTCACTACTTCATCAATTGATTTGCTATCCTTACCTAGTACCCGTTTCCTAACAACTGTGTTACTTACTCGATGGTCCCAGGATATACGAGCAATGTTTCGAAGACACCTATGATCGAATACTAGTAACCTACGGATATCCTCTACTCCTACCGGCCATGTTTCACTGCCATAAAGTAGGACGGAACGAACTGCTGCGCAGTAAACACGTCCTTTAGTTGATAGACGGATATCTCGCCTACGCCATAAATGACGCAAGTTGGCAAAAGCTAGTCGAGCCTTCTGTAACCGTGCTGAGATTTCGTCACACACTAAACCACAAGGGCTGATGAGACTTCCAAGATAAGTGAAGCGGTCGACACACTCAACTACTTCATTCCCTATCATTAGTTCGGGTGTCGGTGTAACCCAATCCTGAAGCAACATTTTGCATTTCGAGGGAGAGAATCGCATCCCGAACATGCTTGCATTGTTGCTTAGAGTGGTCAAAAAACTTTGCATTTTGTCAGCGTCTTCACCAAATAAAACTATGTCATCCGCATATTCTAAGTCAACAAGTGAACCTCCCGGTAGAAGTTCAACCCCTGGAAATTTAGATGAGGAGAGTGTTACCTCTAAAAGTACGTTGACCACAAAGTTGAACAAGAATGGGGAGAGTGGACAGCCCTGACGAACACCACTTGAGGTAATCAATTCTGATGACAGTTCGCCATAAACTCTTACTCTACCAGTTGTGTTCGAGTAGAGAGCCTTTATAAGGTTAATGTACTTCTTTGGTACTCCTTCCAGTGACAAACACTGCCATAGAACCTCACGATCAATAGAGTCGAATGCCGCCTTAAGGTCGAGAAATACTACCATTGTGGGGCGTCTGAATGTGTGTCTGTGTTCCAGAACCTGACGTAGTGTGAATATCTGATCTATACAACCACGTCCAGGTCGAAAACCGGCCTGGTTTTCTCTAATCTGCTCTTCACGAGCTTTGATTAGGCGTCGAAGTATTATTGAAGCTAATATTTTAGACACTATATTAGTCAAACTGATTCCTCTGTGATTGTCACAAGAGGACTTTTGTCCTTTCTTATAGACTGGCACAATCAGTGATTGAGACCAGTCAGATGGGATTACGTCCAGTTCCCAAATTCTCTCTCTCAGATTAAAAGAGATCTAAGGCGGCCAAATCAAAACATGAAGTCAGTTTATGAATTCACTGACTATTGGTTTGAGAAATGTAGGTTAGGGTCCACGAGATAACCACGATTAGTGGTTGGAGGCTTTGGATGACATAGAGCTAAATCGTTCACAATGACCCAGATGCATTCATTCCATATCTTACTTTTATATGGAATCCCAAAATCTCTCGTTACATACGCTTCCCGATTAATACTAATATTAAATAACCATTTAAACATGACTGGATAGATGCTTAGTATAAAACTGATTTCAACCTTATTTATTTTTTAATTTTGACCATCTTCCTAAAAAGGCTTCAAGCAGACTACCGGGTGGAACTTTTGAATTACTTAGAATTTTGATTGCTGAGATTATTACAAACATAACTGTAGGCAATATCGAGGCATACGCACAGTATGCACATATGCCAATAAGAGACTGATCAATTTCAGTCCAAAAACATCAATGGGAAAATTCAAGTAAAACAATATCAAGTGAATTCAACTTCAACCCATTGCACAAGCAAGTGGCTATCAGGACTCAGTAGCTAAGTGGATAACGCGATGGCGTTTGAAGCGAACGGTACTGAGTTCGAGTCCCAGAGTGAACATCAACTCTGAGATGCAGATACACCCAGCTGACGAGTCCCAAACAGGACGAAACGCGCGTCCTGGATTCCACTGCTAGCCACTATCCATCTTTGCTTATAATAATTGTACATATGTTTGCGATACATTTGATGCACAATGTTTGTTGAGCTTTTCGTTCAAATGAGTTGAAATATGGTATCCAAAACACGTACGCAGACATTTGAAAATGGACATATAGTTATTAAAACATTAGACTACTAAAATTTTCAAAGACAGACATAATCTTATGATCGATAATCAAGTGCATTGCAGCACAGCACTTCTGCCTAAACATTAACAATGTATTATTTTGATGAGCTATGAATATTAGTTCAACTTTCTTGCTTTCATCAAGGCTTGACTTTAGATGGCGAACTATTGTAAATCAGAGACAATAAAGTGCTTTCGCTACTGTTTGCGACTCCTCGATAGTACATACACATGGACACTGTCGATGAATGAAGCTAAGATACCGTCATACGTATTTTTCGACTGTCTTTTTAAACAATAATCTCAATGCTTAATCTGTCCCATTTCCATTGCTACTACATTATTTCGATCTCCTTTGTTATTTAGCTTATTCATTTTATTTCGTCGTGCTAATATGCTATGGTAAATTAGTCCATGTTTATAATAACTGATGACACTAATATACGTTCGTACTCTATTTTTCAACTGGTTTTCTTCTGGAATTCTTGTATATACAGAAAACTAATATCATGAACTTTAAACGTATTTACAATAATCAACAACACCCACCATATTTTTCTATCATTGACCGAATCAACACGAATTTCCTCCTTTACTTTTTTTGAATTTTCATCTGCATTAATCTTCATCTAATCAAAAAAAATAATAGAGCATTAGGTTAAGGAATAGTATGAACATATATATCGCTACCAAGCCGACTATCACAATATAACAAAGACTGAAGTGCAATATAATAAGCAAGGTGGAATACTCGTCCAAAAGAAACACATGAGCTTTGGTTTAAAAGTAGTCCCATAGTTTAATAAGACCGGTAAAGATAGGGGACTATACGAAGTTTGAGTCTTTAGATAAGGACTTTAACTGCATAATCAACTCTTGTTTTCAGTTAAATCAGTAAGTACGTTTATTTATGTGCTTGTCATTAGACAATACCAAAGCAGAAGGTAGTCCAGCATTTTCTCTACAAAGATCACACAAACTGTGTAGAGAATGACTAATTCAGCTAATCCATGTAATCGTCCATCTGAATTATAACACCAACTTGATTAGCCTTAACATATGATAAAAATGTCCAGACAAATATTTTTTTGGTCAACAAATATATTCAGTCTACGAAATTCGAAACACATGGAAGGTTAGTTCTTAATGTTTCATATCAAATCAAACACCGACAAGCAAACGATAATTTATTCGGAGTTGTTAGTACAACAGAAGTGAGAAATGCATGTAAACGTACACAACCTTTTCTTCAAGATGTTTAAAATGTTGTGAATTTTGTCAAAGCTTCTGCTACACAAGATTATTCAATCTGAAAACGTTATTTTAACAATCTCTGTATGCTGATAAAAACTTGAACAGGAATGTTTGAGGTGAGTATTCTAGTTAGCAAACACGGTGGCTGTCAATAAACCACATGAATTTAAGTAAGAAGAGAAACTGAAGAGCACTGGATCCGAATGACAACGTATTTAGAAAACTATGATTGAGGTGGGAACACGCCTCACTGTTAACAAGCAATAAGCTAATATACCAAGCACTGTTACCGTGATTTGGCTGTTGTTAGCAGAAATGGTCGTAAGAATACTATTCCTACTAACATGACAAAACAAGTAAATAAGTGGCCAAACATGGTTAAGAAGAGTTTTGAGGTACACAATTATGACGATGTAAAGTGCAATACTACCTGTGCTACAGTATTCTTGGTAGTCAGTTTGTTGGACGAGGGCGGTGAATCTATCATAGGAACTTCATCATTAACCCACTTATCCAGATTTTTGGTAGGAGAAATAATCGCAGCATTTTGAGTCACATTCGAGTAGACACGACTGGTAACAGGGTGGATAGGATTACATAAAGAAATATTCTGGTCAGAATCGCATTTTTTAGAGCAATCAGAGGGATCGATAAGTGAAGCTAAACAAGTTAGGCGTCTCCAGTCTGCTTGATAAACTGCGGCTTGATTAGTATGTTCAATCATATCACATAAGTCAGTAGCACGGTTGGATAGGAAAAGGTGACTTCCAGGAGCTTCAGGGTGATCAGGGAAGGCAGTGAGAAAAAACAGTGATGGAGGGTCAGTGAAGCTTCCTCTCACAGCGTTCTGAACACGGGCAGTACCACACTGCACTATTTCATCATTATCAAAAGTCCATGTTGCTAACAGACGAGGATGGGAACAACCTGGACCCGTAGTGAAACATATACGATCACGTGTCACATGTAAATAGCCATCGCTTGAATTACTGCATAATGTAGGATATAATTTTCTTAAAGATGAGAAAATCTGGCTTTTAGGTCCTTGAATGAGTGGAAAACGTCTCCTATGACGTGCATAACTATACAAAATGCTGTTTTTAGGAGCAACAATCAAATCGGCATGAAAATATGAACCTATAAGGAGCACAAAAACACAGTAAATCAACTTAAGAAACTGACATAAAGGAAACGTATTTTAAAAGCAGCTAGCAAGATATTGTCATAAACCGATTCATACACTGATACCCAAAATGAATAGATTATTTTTAAACGAAGTGGTTGTCTCATAGGATGCATGTTTGTTGATAAAAGCCGAATTAAACTAATAACAATCAGTGAAGATTTTTGCAGTAGAAAGCCATCTTCATTACTAGGAAAAATTAAATTATTCAGCTCGACACCAAAATGTTGGAAATTATGTCGAAAGCTAAAAGAATAGAAGAAAACGTTATAGCAAAACTATTTAGTCTTGGTTCCAAGTGATCATCATTCTAACAAAGGCAAAAATAGTGTTTCCCATTTTCATATCCATTAAGCTAAGTAATTATTCAGAATCAATCAATTAAAAATATTTAAGTAGTGAGACAGCCTGTTTACATATACTGAATGTTGGTGACAGGCCATTGAATCATTTTGCCAAGAATCAGTACATAAACTAACAAGGCTAATACGAATGACAGCTGTTTCGTTATAGGTTCGTTACCAGTTGACTCTAAAATAATGACTGAGATCGTGCTTCACAGACCAAAAAACTCGTGGAATAATGACTGACGACAAACAGGCTGAGTTGGAGCATGTTGTGGACGACCCGTACATATACTTACGGAGTCTATTAAATGATTGAACATTGTAAGAGGCCCATTGCCGGGAGGTCGCAGTTAAGGGGTTTCGAACCCTCTGGGCTTTAAAAAGGACATTCACTAAGCTTGATACTACCATGTTCACCACATTATACACATCCTTAGTGAGAACTAAGTTAGAGAACTGTGTTCAGGCTGCAAGCCCCTGTTTAAAAGGTGACTCAGACATACTAGAAAAGGTACAGAGGGCAGCTACGCGTGCAATTCCGGAACTCCGGGGTTTATCATATGAAGAGCGGCTTGAAAAACTGAACCTCTTTACTCTGTCCTATCGCAGACTAAGGGGAGATCTAATATTGATGTACAGAATACTGAGAAATGATTTCGGACCTAACTTATTCTCTCTTTCTTCCCACTAGATCGGGACACCTCAGAGGACATAGCAGGCGAGTAGAAAAGCCAAGAACGAACAAAATACCCCTGGCATACAGGTTTTCACACCGAGTCATCAATACTTGGAACCTGCTGCCTGAAGCAGTGGTATCCGCACCTTCAATTGACTCTTTCAAGAGAAGACTGGACACTCACAGAAGCATACTAGAAAAGGAATAACATAGGCCGTAGGCCTTCTGTCCTTACTACACAAATCTGAATCTGATTGCTAAACATTATAGTATCACCCGATATAGTAATTGCATTTGATTTATTGGAAATGACTGTGATATCAGATTGCTGAATAGGCATTTGGGAAGTTTAGTGACACCTTGAAGGTTTATATATTTTCAATACTAGAATACAACAGCAAAGTTGGAAGAAACGATGAGTCTAGCGATCTCCACACGTTTATCGATGAAGTGAGGTATTATGTTAAGCAAAAGTGGGAAGCACATATGCATACAAACGGAGACAACTAGATCAAATTTGTTCGAAGTACTCTTTTAGTCATATGTTTCGGAAGGTTGTCCATAATTAAACATTTAAAGATTATTAAATAATTAACATGAGTACCTATGTCAGAGCAAGTAAGGTTATGCTCAATGATCTAAAGTTATGTGCGCAGACGCCAACAGTTAGCGAAAGAAAATTACGGACCATATATGAGAGCTCGAAAACTTGACTTACATTTCAAATTAGCTTTTAATATGTCATCCCATTTAGTCATCTCCTCGAAATGTCGAAATGATATACAACGTAACTTGTAGGTACATACGAACATAATTACTCCGTCATGCTTAGAGTCTACTCCAAGAATGTAGGCATGAACATCTTGACATCGACATATACTCCCATCGTCGTTAAATACGAATAACTTTAGTGAGTCTAAACTGGGTCAGAACAACACTAATTTACTTATAAATGTTGCAGGTCTCTCAAGCGCGCAAAGCTTTTTCTTCCACTAATAAATTCTAGTTATATAGTGAAAACAGAGTCTACCTTGCCACTAACTCTAACCGGTACAATGCCTTCGATTAGGCGTCCAATACTGATCATTTTATCAGGTTTGGGTATCAAGGTCATCAGAACGAAAAGCCGCCTACCGTTTTCAATCCTCAATAAAAAAATTAGTTGATCGGATCTCTTTTATTAACTATTACAGTATATTTTTATAGTTGAGACGTAGTTTTATTTTTCGGTGATTTATACATGGAACCAATATTACTTGTTCTCATAGGGTGTTCCGATCATTGGTTGCTATATTTCTATTTTAATACAATTTCTGTTGGTACTAAGTGCAAATGCCAATGTAAATCCGGTTTAGCGGTAAATAAATCCCCAAAATAAATAGCTCTACGTTTTGGACATTGGATGCTGACCATATGTTTAAGTGGACTCATCTAGGTGAAGGCGCTCGGTCAGGCATCCGCACCAGATCACGTGTGGTAACGCCGTGCTCAACATCAACCGCAATCGCTAGCCAGATTAGATCAGAGAATTCCGATATATTGGTCATCGCCAAATATACTCTTCCGATCTCCTCGACTCTGTCTTTTGATTTCTCTGGGTGGGAACGAAATATATTAGAAGGTGTTACTGGTAGAAGCGTTGTCAAACACTGAATACTTGTGACATCATCATTGGTGAAATCGATGTGACCTGGTACACCTATTTACAACTGTGAGTCTGTTCCTTTTTGGGATTTTTATATATCATTGCCTTATTTTTTTATTTTTTTTAAACATTGTGATTTTTTTAGTGTTTTTTCTTGGATATATATATTTTCCCTTCGTTCATTATCGTACTTCATATTTCATCATGAGTGAACAGACATCTAAAGTACTCAGGCTTAAGACCTTGTCCCCACCTTCGTTTCAACTGATGCCTTTCTGGCCCGACAACATCGAAGCCTGGTTCTGCTACGCAGAAGCCGACTTCCACGAGCACGGCGTGACCGACACACGTGCACAATTCCGCGCAGTAGTCAAGGCACTACCACGCGAATTCAACAGGTACGTAACACCTAGTATGTTTACTAGTGACGTTTCCGATCCTTACGAAATCTTGAAACGCTCGATTCTTAAACGAGGAGACCTAACCGATCGACAAAGGTTAGATCAGCTCTTCAATAACATCGACCTGCAACACGGTTCTGCGACGGAGATGTTGCAACGGATGAGAGAGGTAATAGGCCCAAGAATTTTCGACGAAGGTCTATTCAAACAACTCTTCTTGTCAAAACTTCCCCAACAGGTGCAAGCGGTTCTGGTCTCGTTCCAGAACAACGCCTTAGACGAGCTAGCTGCATCTGCCGACCGAAACCTTCTACTACCGAGTTATTTCCAGTCAAAGACAAACCTCAAACGACTCAGAATGACATAACCGAGTTATGTCAGAGACTCACGCGTTATCTTAATCTTCGTGCCGACCGTAAGAGATCGCGCGCTCCACGTAGAAGCATTCCACGTAAGCGATTTGTCTCTAGGCCACGAGAGACAGATAACCCCGACTGGTGCTGGTACCATAACCAGTATGGAAAGTTTTCCAGAAATTGCAGAAAACCCTGCAATTTTCCCAACACGAAACAGAGTGACTCGAAAAACAACTCGGGAAACTTCCAAGCCAGCACGCGTTAACGGCAACCGTAGCCGGCGAACATAGCCGTCCGTTATACGTCACAGATGTGACAACGAGAGTTCGCTACCTCGTCGACACTGGCGCAGAAGTTAGCGTTCTCCCAGCAAATCCTAACGACCGGCTTCACGAATCGGCTCTAAACTTACAGGCGGCAAACGGAAAACCGATCGCTACGTATGGCAAAAGGTACGTTTACCTTAACGTGGGTTTACACAAACCCATTCACTGGATTTTCGTTGTTGCAGATGTTTCTATGCCAATCATTGGTATGGACCTTCTACAACACCATAATCTGATCATCGACACGTGCAAACGGAGGCTAGTAGACGGAAACACTAATTTGTCCGTTTGCGTAACTTCTTTTACTGGTTGTAGAGTATCCCCAGTCACAGTTAAACATATGATAGACCCACTCTATCAACCACTACTCGATAAGTACCCTGGGGTACAACAGACTCAACCGAAACTACCGTGTGTAACCAGCAATGTTACACATCACATCACGACTACAGGACCACCTGTATTCTCTAAAGCACGACGACTAGCTCCTGAAAAGCTAAGGTTAGCGAAAAACGAATTCGATCACATGATGGACTTAGGAATCATACGACCGTCGGCGATTGAACGCGAAAACCATTCGCGATCGTTACCCGTTGCCTCACATTCACGATTTGACAGCTACCTTGAAAGGTACAACTGTCTTTTCGAAAATCGACTTGGTTAAAGCGTATAACCAAATCCCTATGGCTACTGACGACATACCAAAAACAGCTATCATAACTCCCTTCGGACTCTATGAATTTTTGAGAATGCCTTTCGGTCTAAGAAATGCTGCTCAAACATTCCAAAGATTCATAGACGACGTTTTTCGAGGTCTCAACTTCGTACATGCGTATGTTGACGACTGCCTAATCGCAAGTCCGGACAGAGAAACACATCTCAAGCATCTATATCTTGTTTTCGAACGACTACAAAAACATGGCATTGCTGTAAACGTTCGGAAATGCCAATACGGAACCGACTGATTAGACTTTCTGGGACACACTATCGATGCTCAAGGTATCCGACCACTTAGAACCAAAGTGGCGGCCATTCTGGATTACCCAGAACCGACCACCGTCAAGCAATTACGCACGTTTAACGGCCTCGTAAGTTTCTATAGACGTTTCATACCGAAATGCGCATTACTTATGAAACTTCTGACCGACCAACTTCGTGGAAATGCTAAATCCATTAATTTGGACGACACCGCACGAAAAGCATTCTCCACTGATCGCTAAAGCAACAATGCTCGCACATCAGGACACCCGAGCACCAATTAGCATCGCAGTAGACGCATCGGACTCGGCAATCGGAGGTGTCTTACAACAATGGGTTAACAACTCCTGGCAACCCTTGGCATTTTTCTCCAGAAGGTTGCTAGACACCGAATCGAGGTACAGCACATTCGGTAGAGAACTCCTAGCTATGTATTGTGCTGTACGGCATTTCCAACACTATATCGAAGGCCGTGAATTCACTCTTTTCACGGACCATAGACCGCCCACTTTCTCGTTAAGCTCTCCTTCTGACAAGTACTCTCCCCGTGAGTCTCGAAAACTGGACTACATTTCGCAGTTTACTTCAGACATTCAACACATCTCTGGAGCAAACAATGTAGTCGCAGACGCCTTATCTCGCATAACTTCCTTGAACAGTTTCCAAGGAATCGACCTTCTGAAACTCGCCCAGCTTCAAAAAGAAGACACTGATCTTCAGCATGAGTTATCGTCCACAACCCTTAAATTACGCATCAAACAGATGGAAACAAGTAAAGAAACCTTACTTTGTGACACATCTACAGGTAGGGATCTCCCAATCGTGCCGAAACATTATCGACGCAATGTCTTCAATACATTACACAAACTTTCTCATCCAGGTGTCCGTGCAACCATCAAGCTTATAGCAGAACGGTTTTGCTGGCCTGGTATGAATAAAGACGTGAGGGAGTGGGCACGCTCCTGTGTAAGCTGCCAAAAATCTAAGGTTATCAGACACAATAAATGTCCCTTAGGCTCATTTAAGACCTTTACCAGATTCAAATGGATACTCTTACCTCTTAAACTGAGTAGACCGTTCCACTCGATGGCCAGAAGCACTACCTATCAAGGACATCACTTCTGAAACAGTGGCTCGCGCCTTCGTCGAGCGATGGGTAGCAAACTTCGGCTGCCCTTCAACCATCACTACAGATCGCGGAAGTCAGTTGGGATCTGAACTTTTCCGTCGTCTGACCACACTTATAAGAATCACTCGCTTCCGAACGACCGCCTACCATCCACAAGCAAACGGGTTGGTAGAACGTTTTCACCGACAACTAAAAGCCTCACTATCAGCTGCAAACGTTTCACAGTGGACCGACGCTCTTCCACTTGTCTTACTAGGTATTCGCAATGCAGTGAAAGCTGACATTGGATACACTGCGGCTCAACTCGTTTATGGAACGAGACTCGATTTCCAGGAGAATTCGTGGATCCTTCATCCTCTTCAATGAACATGGATCTAACCTCCTACATGAACATGCTTACAAACGCAATGCGTTCAGTTAAACCTGTTTCACTCGACCTCAATCAACTGATGTTTTCGTTCAACCTGACTTACGATATAGTACACACGTTTACGTTCGTCGAGACTCGCATCGACGACCATTCGAATCAGCGTACGAAGGACCCTTCAGAGTTTTTCAACGTGAATCTAAGTACTATATAGCCGATAAGAACGGAAAAAACGATAGCATCAGCATCGATCGCTTAAAAGCAGCGTATTTAGGAGGAAATCCTATCTACGTCGATTTTCCTTCGTTACAGTCGAACGACACGGCTCCACTCATAATTCCTCAACCGACAACCAACACTAGCGATGATACTCCGAATGTATCTGAAAATAAACGTAAAACAACGCGTTCTGGAAGAAGAGTAAGATTTCCAGAACATTTAAACGACTACTGCACGTAAGGCACTACTCGACATTTTATATTATCTCGATCATTTTTTAACGATAAAAAAACATTTTTTTAAAGCTATTACGTGTGCTTCGGTATATTTTCCATTTTTTCGCCGACATTGTGTTTTTACGCACATACGAGTGTATTTCAACATGCACTTACACTTTCTTTTTTCTTTTCCAGGACGACTGGAAAAGAACGATGCAGTTCACGAGGGGTCGAAATTTTCGTTGTAACTTTTTCTTTGTTTACTATGTTGTACCTCGGTCCCATATAGTAGGGAAAGACGACCAGATGCTTCTACACTCAGTAAGCTATCAGAAAAGTGTTTACCAACGACATACTCGTTGGGTTTAAACTTCTGGCTGGCCACGTCTTAGGGTCGTCACTACCCCACCAGGGGGGAGTGATCTGTAGCGGTAAATAAATCCCCAAAATAAATAGCTCTAAGTTTTGGAC